CGAAAGTTTGGCTTTGGTTGACAGTTGCATCTTGATTTGATCTGCTCACTAACTCTGAGCTGTTCCAATGCAATATCATCTGCGAATTGTAATATCGTGCAGGATCAGGCTGCCTTTAATTACTGCAAATATTTGCCTTGTGATTCTAAGTGGATCAAGTATGATGTGGTTAATATATTTATGAGACAGTTGGGTTCTGGCCATTTCAGTTGTCCAGTGCTTATTGCTCAGCTAAAAGGGAACATTCTCAGAACGTTGGCTGATGTTGTGGATAGACAGATATAAACAAACATCTAGTAATGTTATTAGAATGTTAGTTAAAAGTTATTAGTACTGCATCCGAAATCGCATACTGCTCGTTTAGGTACTGTAATTAATATTCAGCGTACTTTATTATACACTGAATATTAACGTACTTTAAACATAATTTATTGTGACTGTTAGAAAAGTATGTTTTATATTGTATAAATATGAGAAGTTTGAATATAATTTAGATATACTACATCCTCCTTGTTGTTATTATAACCATCTGCATCAGTTGCATTCATACATTTTCTTAGAATATTTATAGAATTCAGATGTACTTGGCTCACTTAATGTTTTTTTTTTTTTTTTTTTTTGCACACTAGACATTAGGAAAATATGCGATTTCGGATGCACTCTAGGTCTTTATTATTGCTAGCACAAAATAAATGTTATTTGTACATCATTCATGGAAGGTTTTTAGTTGGATGTTCATTCAACATTTTCCCAGAGTGTTTGCAAAATTACAAATAACAGATTGTTCCCTAAATGGTTTTTCTAACATTTCTATAACAAAAAAACATGTTCAATTTGAAAAAATATGACATTTGGAACATTGTAGGTATGTTTTTAATGCACTTAGTATGAACATTAAGTGAATTAATACCAAATGTACACTGAGTTGTTTCAACCGAAACTTTGGTCAAACCTAGGCAAATCCAAAAAATTATTATTTATTATTTTTCTTTTCATTTTTATTATTATACCTTACACTTTTTTGGGTGGCAAGGTGGCTAAGTGTTTAGCATTGTCACCTCACAGCAAGAAGCTTGCTGGTTCGAGTCCCGGGTGGACCACTGGGCGTTTCTGTGTGGAGTTTGCATGTTCTTCCTGTGTTAGCGTGGGTTTCTTCCAGGTGCTCCGGTTTCCCACACAGTCTAAAGACATGCTATAAGTCAATTGGATTAACTAAATTGGCCATAGTGTGTGAATGTGAGAGTGTATGGGTGTTTTCCAGTACTGTGTTGCAATTGGAAGGGTTTCTGTAAAACATACAGTTGCCAATCAATTCCACTGTGGCAACCCCTGATAAATAATGGACTAAGCCAAAGGAAAACAAATGAATGAACGAATTAACTTACATTTTTAACCCCGTGATTGGACTTGTCCATATTTTAGCCACAGTTTGCTTGAAACAACTCAGCATTTTATATATTTGCTACACTGAAGCGGATCAAGCAAACTAAGAGAACCAAACTAAAAGTGCAAACACTCTCAGAAGTCAAGTTTTTAGACCTTAATGGGAACATAAGCAAAACGTTCTTCAAATATACTATTTATTAGCCGGGCGGTCTGACATCTTGCTATTGGACAACTGCAATAATATTTGACATGGCCCAATGTTGGATTGCAAATTCTGAATTATTTATGATTGCAATTTTGTATCTAGTAGAGTCAGAAACGCTGAGTTGTTTTATTACATATTCTTGTTTTCACACTGTCGTCACTAAAGATTCTTATAATTCACATTGACGTGATCTTTTTTATGTAGGAGACTGCTTTACATTGCTCCTTAATTTCCCACCACCTCTGGAATGTGTTTTGGCCTTACTGTTTGCACCACTTCTTCCTTTTCAGCCTTATTGGAGTGTTGGCTTGATTTTGTATAAGAACTTTGTGATTGAGGCGATTGATCTGACTTGTGGTTTTGAAAATGAGTGTGTTTTGAAGGTTAAACTGAGTGTACCTGTTTTTATTTGAATTGACTGAATTCTCCCTCTTCAATATACCTTTTAAACTGAATAAACTTATGACGAAATACAGACTGTCCTCCCTATACCTCTTTTTATTTATAGTTTTTGAATGAATATCAGCACCACAGTTACACTTACAATAGACAAATTTTGTATGTAAATTGTATGGAGCCAGATCAATCTCAAAAACAATACATTTACAAAATATAATTCATGCATCCACAACACTTTCCCAGTGTTGGGTTGCGGCTGGAAGGGCATCCGCTGCATAAAACAGGTGCTGGATAAGTTGGAGGTTCATTCCGCTGAGGTAACCCCTGGTTAATGAAGAAAAAAAAAATTCAATTAAAGAAAATGAATGAATGAATGAATGAATGAATGAATGAATGAATGAATGAATGAATGACATCCACAACACAAGTCACATTTCTGCAATTTAATTTGCAAGTTCAAAACACAAATCGTAAAGACACAAATCCAATTCGTAGATTCAAAACACGATTCAAAAATGCACAAATACCATTCGTAAATTCAAAATGCAATTAAAAAATAAATAAATCAAATTTGTAAATTCAAAACACAATTAATAAATACACAAATCCAAGTCGTAATTCAAAACACGATTCAAAAATGCACAAATCCAATTCGTAAATTCAAACCACGATTAATAAATACACAAATCCAATTCATAAATTTAAAGCACGATTGACAAAAATAAACATGCAGTTAATTTAATGAAAATATTTATAATTCTTACTTGTTATTTTTCAAATTGTGTGTTGTATTTATGAATTGTGTTTTGAATTTACAAACTGAATTTTGTAAAATTGAATTGTGCTGTGCATGCATGAGTCTTATTTAGTTAACATATTATTTTTGAGACAGATCTGGCTCCATAAAATTGTGCTCAATATTTTCATTAATTATTTTTTTTCTGGAATCTCTCAGTAGTTTGTATAGTAAAAGGGGCATTGGTTCAATTTAACATTGTGCGGTAAAAACAAAAGAGTGCAAAACATTACAAAGAGCGCACTGAAGTATACATGAGGACATTAGCAGGTAATGCAACTAGATCTGCTTGTGGGAAACAGAACCTGCATGTGCACCAGCAGAGAGGAAAAGGAGAATACAGCGTAATCTCACTAAATAATGGCTTTATGATGATCAGATTTCTGCAATGAGAAACTGATGACATTTGTTTGTTCCATGGTCAAAATATAATCATAGACTCACTTGTCACTTGAGGTGCCTGTTCTCCCTGTGTTGACGTGGGTTTCTTCCGGGTGCTCCAGTTTCCCCCACAGTCCAGACATGCGGTACAGGTTTGTATGGCCGTTGTATATGTAGTGTGTGAATACAAAAGTGTATGGGTGTTTTCCAGTACTGGATTGCAGCTGGGAGGACATCCACTGTGTAAAACATAGGCTATGCTGGATAAGTTGGTGGTTCATTCTGATGTGGTGACCCCTGATAAATAATGAACAGCATTCTAACAAGTATGACACTTCATTGAAGTTTGAAAAGTCATCCATCTGTATTTGTAAAATATTTATTGGAGATAAATAGACGAAAGAAGCCAACCTCCACAACCTCATCCACTTCGACTTCTCCCTCACCGAAGTGCACTGGATATTATTAGGAGGATGGAGCTCCGCCGTGTGGTCAGTGGGAGTCAGCGCTGTACGTGGATTGACCATGGACTCTGCCCGCGAACTGATGTCCTCTTTACCAAAAACACTGATGACAAAACTACTTACACAAAGTACACAGAAAATAAACTTTATTTTTATATGTAGCTACTCCTGACTTTCTAAAGTTCCTACAACCATCCAAAGTAGCCTACCACAGTGACCTGACTTTGAGTTCTTCCATTACACGAGAAGACAATTTAACAAACAACATAAAACACAGTAGGCCACTGACTGAAGTTTAAATGATCTGATTTATAAATGAGGCTTTTGGCTTAAATTATATATAGCTCATATTCCATGATTTTGACATTTGACAGTTTTGACATTTTTATTTATCTCAATGTTTTCAAAGCTTTTTGCCTATAGCCTAGCCTAGTTTACTTAGATTTGGTAGACCTATGATTGTACTTCACACTTATATGAACTTTTGGCATAATACAAACCTTTTGTTTCATTTTTATGAGATATAATATAATTTTGACCTTCTCTTAATTGACCATTATTTGATTTAGGATTTTCATCTCACAATGTTTACCCCATCATTTCAACTTATTTATCACATTCATAACAAATTAGCACATTTTCATATTTTGTCATTTTTTTAACCTAATAGCAATTTTTACAAAAAAAAATAATAAAATTTCTTCACTGTTAACTGTTTATCTCATAATGTTTACTTTTGTGATTTTTTTTTCATTTTATATCATCATTTTAAATTTAAGATTTGTATCCCTAGTGAAACTGCTGATCATATATTTGTTTTTTATTTGCCCTCATGCACAATGCTTTTGGATTGAACTTTTTTTTGGTTATTCATTGCAAAATACTAATTCGTGTTATCTTTTAAGGATATCCTGTTGGGTTTTTTCAATATTCCCGATAATAAAAGTAAGGAGTGTTTCATAATTAATCTCCTTTTAATCCTTGCTAAATTCCATATACACAGCTGTAAATTCTCTCACTCTAGGCTATATTTTGTTTTAATATTTTTGAAAAGGAACTTCAACAGTACATTAAAACTATTGCTTCCTTAAAACACATGATTTTATAATATGTGTTGTTTGTTTTTTAGTAAATTTTTTCCCTTGTATGTGCTTATTTGATGTTTTACTTCTCTGTAAAACTCATGTGCTCTCTTTGTAACAAATGTATGATGATGTTATTGTTACCCTGACAATAATAAAACTAAAAAAAGAAAAGAAAGTTATTTGTATCAGACTTTTTTAAACAATATTATGTAATTGCACTCCCGTACACTAGGTGTCGGTAAGTAACGCAATGCCACAGATTAAGCTTAAATACGCGACGAAGCAGAACTTCAAGCATGGCGTCCTCGTACTATCAGGAGATGCAGGAGGTGTTCAGGAATAACAATAAAAGCAGAGAGTTCCCGGCTCACAGTGCTAAAGTGCACTCGGTGGCCTGGAGCTGTGATGGAAAACGACTGGCGTCCGGTTCGTTTGACAAAACTGCCAGCGTATTTGTCCTGGAAAAAGACCGACTGGTGAGCTTTGTCTTCTCCATCATCCTTCGTTGTCCAAAACATATATTTAATTTATAAACCACGTTCTGCGTAGAACAAGCTGTTTAACATTTAATCTGTAAACTAAACTAGTATCAGTTTTATGCTACTAACGTTAATACCTATTTTTAGATATGTGTGTCTTTTTCATTAAGTACTGATACGTATTCAGTACACTTGTTGATATTTAGCCAACAGTTATTATTTAGCTACTACTACAAGTTAGTTTTCATTAGATGAATTTTAGATTCATTTTAGACAATAAATTAGACACTCGTAGCTATTAAATAGGTACTACTCATTAATTAGACACGTATGAATAGTATATTTTTGTTTAAATACTATTTACTCATCATCACACACTTGTTCTCATTTATTTCATACTAGTATTTATTTCAAAAGTGTCAAGTAACTACTTCTATCGCAGTCTGTTATTGGAATGTGAGGTTTTTAATAATTGTCTAGTACATATTTTTACTATGACTAGTTATTCTGCAAGTACTGATATTTGGGTGGATTTTATTGGAAATAAGGGCTTTTTCAATATGTACTAGTGTATAATTGTTAGACACACAAAGTGATCACGCTCTACAATAAGGTTCCATTGATAATGTTAACTAATTTACCAGCATAACCTAATAATAAACAAAACTTGTACAGCACTTCCATTCAGGCATTGGACAATAACCGTTTTCAAGGTATACCACGGTTAGGAAAAGTCAAGGTTTTAAAACCTCCAACATTTTCTTCTATACCATTCCTATGGTATATGTACGATTTTTTTTAATTTATGGTTTTTGTTGTTGTTGTTTTAGGACAACAGTGTGTCCAGCAGAAAAGATATGCAAACTTGTTTTACATGTTTACTGTTTTAAAATATTTAAAGTCTTTCTCAAAATAAAATATATTGTGTTCAAAGGGGGAAAAAGTTTTTAGTCTTTTACCCTGACATTTAAAAATAATATATTTTAGAACAGTAATCACAATACCGTCAAACCGGGATATTTTTGTCCAAGGTTATCTTACTGTCAGAATCTTATACCTACAATCCCATGCCTACAAAAATCTAAAACAGCTCTCATCTCCTGATGCAAAACAGCGCTCATCTCCTGATGCAAAACAGCACTTGTTAACATTAGTAAATGCACTGTGAGTTGGCAAGAACCAACAATGAGGCTTATTTTCAGTAAAAAACATTAACAAAGATGTATAAATACTGTTTGTTGTTTTTCATTATAGTAACCTCATTATCTAATGAAACCTTATTGTAAAGTTGTACTGTCATATCTAATAAATGCTTTGTTTTTATTTAGAAAGCAGTATTTACTTATTAGATACTCCATCATTTATTAGAAACTCATTCTTATTACAAGTACCTCTTTAACAGATGCTAGTAGTTATTTATTGTATCCTAGTACTCATTTATTTGGCACAAGTATTTTTATGTAGTTGTTATGAGTTGCTACTAGTATTACGAGTCACTACTGATTTTTATTTTTTATTTTTACTTGTCACATTTTGACTATTTTGGATGACTGTATAAGTGTTCAATTAAACATGTGCTAGTTAAATAAAGATATAATAAACATGAGTAGATGGCGTTGTATGTACTAGTATCTTTTCAGTATGTACTTAATGAATAAGAACTAGTTTCTAATGATAATCGGTAGCTAATGAATTACTACCAGTTTATAAACATTGTCACAATCGGAATACATTGTGAAAACTGACATCTTGTGACAATTGTGACATCTCAATGACAGACCTGTACAGAAGTCAATGGCAAATACCTAATCAAGTTACTAATTAATTTAATGTCTGCAAAATTACTTATCATTTCATTGACATTATGCATATTAATTATGTTTTAGCTGCAATAACAAGCTTTTATAGGTCATCCATTTGCCAAAAACATTACTATACTTATTCTATATCAGAAAAAACGGTTAATATTCACAGCATTGGCTACAATGCGGTTTATTATTTTACAATTTATTTGTCTTGACTAGATGTGATCTAGCTCATGTATTATCATATGTATTAGGTGAAGGAAAACAACTACCGTGGGCATGGAGACAGTGTGGATCAGCTGTGCTGGCATCCCACCAACCCTGATCTGTTCGTTACTGCATCAGGAGACAAGACCATCCGCATCTGGGATGTGCGGACCACCAAATGCATGGCCACAGTCAGCACAAAAGGTGAAGCTCTAAAGCTTAAAGTGATAGTTTACACAAAAATGAATACTCTCTCATCATTTACCCACCATTGAACACAAAATATAACATTTTAAAGAACATTGGAAATCGTTACTTATTGACTACCGTAGTATTTGTTTTTCATTTTATGGATGGCAATTTCCAACATTTTTCTAAACATCTTCTGTTGTTTTTAACAGACAAAATAAACTCAACTTTAGAAACTCTTGAGGATTGAGCTATGGCTTTCAATGTTATATGTTTTATTCTTGTGAGATTATATTATTTATTGGTTTATTGATTGTCTGACTATGTTTAGGGGAGAATATCAACATTTGCTGGAGTCCTGATGGTCAGACCATCGCTGTAGGTAACAAGGATGATGTTGTAACGTTCATTGATGCCAAAACACACCGTCCACGTGCTGAGGAGCAGTTCAAGTTTGAGGTCAACGAAATCTCCTGGAATAATGACAATGACATGTTCTTCCTGACCAACGGCAATGGATGCATCAATATATTAAGGTCTACTTTTATTTTTATTGTAGTGGGCTGTTGTTTATGTAATTTATTTATATATATATATATATATATATATATATATATATATATATATATATATATATATATATATATATGTATATGTGTGTATATATATGTGTGTATATATATATTTGTCAATCATATGTCATGACTCTGTTACAGTTACCCTGAACTGAAGCTCATCCAGTCAATTAATGCCCATCCATCCAACTGCATCTGCATTAAGTTTGATCCGACTGGGAAGTATTTTGCCACTGGAAGTGCAGATGCCCTGGTCAGCCTGTGGAACGTGGAGGAGCTGGTGTGTGTGCGATGCTTCTCAAGGTCAGTTTTGACTTTTTTAGATTATATATAAATAAAAATGTACATTTTTTTTTTTTTATAACTTTGAATTATCTCACAGTGTTTAAATTTAAATTTTATATTAAAGTTATAGAACATTATACAACAAAGCTAAATATAAGTTTTGTAGTTTTAAGACCAAATTTCAGTTGACTGTCTCAAATGAGTGACTTCCCTTTTTAATAATGAATAAGCTAACAAATAGTAAATTTTTATTTAATTAAATATTTAATTTTATTTTTTTTAAATTGACTTAATTTATATTTCTATGTTTGACTGATCTCATAACATTTACTCTTTATTTAGCTTTTTTTACGTTTTAAAATTTTAAATTATAGTTACAATAAAAACTAAAATGAAACTAAATGGGTTAAACTGCAGAATTTACTAATAATGAAATTTAAAAATAACAACAGTTAATAAAATTCTAAAAACTAGATTTTATGTCAGTGAAAATATTTATTTTTAATTATTAATAAGTAGTGTATTTAAATGTGCCATATTCTGCATTGGTTTAATAAGTTAAATTGTTCTCTGATATCTACATTGTAGGTTTATGGCTTTGGTAAGTTAAAAAATAAATCTCTAGAAATGATTTATTAAGCTAATTCATTAATCCATACAAATTCCCATAGAATCAGAAGGTCCATGATTGACCATATATGGTTCATCTTGTGAATATTAATGAGCTCCGCTGCACCTAGAGACACACACACACAGCATAATGTACAGTACGCTGAACATGGAGAAATATAAACCCAATCAGAGTAATGTTAACCTATTTTGCTCACCAGATCTGTTGTGGAAAAAGGCTAAATTATAATTAAACTTGACAAAAGAGAGTGATAGACATGTTTTGCGTTGTATTTTGAAGTTACAGTCAAAGAAAACACACCCAGGAATTAATATCAATTTGAATGACAAGTAGCTTTACATGCAAATGCGGAGGACATGGCCCATGACCCTCGTCACAGTTTGTTTTGTCTTCTGATTGGCCTGTTATCCACTGGAGTTTTACATTTGTGGAAATTCGTGGATCTTTTATTATTCTACTATGTATTGGTATACCCAGATTTTCATTAAAGGGCACCTTTAAGTGATACAAAAATAATGCTAAGATGATGTTGTAATGCATTTACTTTGTGGTTATTGCATATGGAGTTAGAAACAAAAAATATAATGAATTTTAATCTATCATCAGTATTTATCAGTTTTACATGAGCACATTTCTAAATTTTTGCAAAGCGAGAGAAAGTTTTTTTATGAACCATTCAAGTTCATTGATTAATCACACTTTTAAATTATTATGTCTCGCATAGTTTTTATTTAAATTTTCTTTAAACTATTTTGTCTTGAATCCAACAGACTGGACTGGCCTGTACGAACTCTTAGCTTCAGTCATGATGGTAAAATGCTGGCATCTGCATCAGAAGACCATTTCATTGACATAGCAGAAGTAGAGACAGGTGAGCAGATGCATCTTTACAACATGATGAAAGCTTTACTCGCATTTTACTAACCGTCTCCTGTCTGTAGGGGAGAAACTGTGGGAAATTCAGTGCGAGTCTCCAACCTTCACTGTAGCCTGGCATCCGAAGAGGCCGCTGTTAGCATATGCCTGTGACGATAAAGAGGGCAAATACGACAGCAACCGAGAAGCGGGCACCGTCAAACTCTTCGGCCTTCCCAATGATTCCTGAGGTCCGTTTACACATATTAAGATAAAATTGAGATGTTATTCGAGCAAATTAATTTTCATTAGACTTATTGTTTTAAAGTAAATTTGTAAATAGTTAAAAGATATTCTGATGTTCTGCTCTCATATTAGTTTTTGGTTTAAAGTACAGGTGTAAATAACTACTGCCTGCAGCTCCTCTGAATATGAGTTTTTATTTGTCTTTTACCAAAATATGACTGTGTGATAATACAAAAACAAAGTTTAATGTAGAATCTGTGCAGAATACTTAAAAAAAATCTTGTGATTTAGTACAGCACGCTGTTCTTGTTTTCAATAATTGACCATTGCTGTTTTTGAGAAAAATTGAGATAAAACTGTAATGCTAGTTTTAGAAATGACCAGCAGAGGGCATCACATGCTCAAAGAAAAGATGTCTCATTGCTAATACAGGCATTTTTGAATGTGTGTTTGTTTTTATAGCAATAAATTATGTACTTTATTTTTAAAATGAATACTGTTTCATATTTTTCTTGATTTTAAAAGCCACATGTTGTCTTTTTGTGTGATCAACTCCAAAATACTGTTGGAAAACAAAGCACCCTAATTTTAGCGCTTAATTGACTATTTTATGTACTCTCTGCTATAATGTAGTTTTAGTGTTTTTGTATGTGCTCAAAACATATTTATCATTTATTTGTTTATTTAGTAATTTTAGTGTGTTTTTGATCTGATTCATTTATTAATAAAAAAAAAACAACAACAGGAAAATATATCGGTTTTAATTTTAGACATCAACACTGCAAAAAAACTAGAACTTGTTTGAATTCGTCGATTGAGATAATTGTAATGGATTTTCTTAAATTAAAATAACAATGTATATAATTCACCTTTGCTAATCAGGTTAAATAAAGATAATTTTATTGGCTTGATTTACATATAAAGTGTTCAGATCAAGAAAAACATTTCAGTTTCATCTGAAACTTTCTTCTTAAATTGGCGTTTTTCTCAATTGGTTCTTTTCATTCTCTTTATAGTAGTCGAATATAAACATTTGGAGGCTGTGAAAAATGCTCATTTTACAAGAGTTTTTTTAGATTACACTTAGAGGCCTTTGTATCTAAACTCTTTCAGATAGATAGATAGTAAGTCTTGTATCTCATAATTGCAGAATGTAGTTACTTATTCACATTTGAAATAACATTGATTCGCCCCTTATGTCATGGCACGTTATCCTGCTGGACGATGGGTACACTGTGGTCATAGAGGGATTGACATGGTCAGCAACAATACTTAGGTTGGCTGTGGCATTGACACAATGCTCATTTGGTACTAATGGATCCTAAGTGTGCCAAGAAAATATCCCCCACACCATTACACCACACTTTCGTGTTGTTGATGCCAAGTTTTGACCCTACTATCTGATTATGGCAGCAGAAATAGAGACTCATCAGACTAGGTGAAGAGTTTCCAATCTTCTGTTGTCTAGTTTTGTTGAGCCTGTGTGAATTGTAGCCTCAGTTTCCTGTTCTTAGCTGACAGGAGTGGAACGCGGTGGTCTTCTGCTGCTGTAGCCTGTCCGCCTCAAGGTTCGTCGTGTTGTACGTTCAGAAATGCTCTTCTGTAACTTCAGTTGTATTGAGTGGTTATTTGAGTTACTGTTGCCTTAACCAGCTAGAACCAGTCTGGCCATTCTCCTCTGACATCAACAAGGCATTTGTGCCCCCAGAACTGCCGCTCATTGGATATTTTTTTCAGATCATTCTCTGTCAACCCTAGAGCTGGTTGTGCATGAAAATCCCAGTAGATCAGCAGTTTCTGAAATACTCAGACCAGCTCATCTGGCACCAACAACCATGCCACATTCAAAGTCACTTAAATCACCTTTCTTCCCCATTCTGATGCTCTTTGCTGGAAGCCCAAACCAATGACTTGTTATCTAAGTGATTAATTTGGATAATTGCAAACAAATATATATTTATTAGCAGTTATTCGTCCATGTTGACTTAGACTATTGCTAATAATTCTTTGTATTATTGTCATATAAAGGTTAAAATAATCGATTGATGCAGCTGTTTCTTTTGTCAGTCAACTGTGGAGAGATCCGAAGAGAATCTCGAACTTGGAAATACCCTCTAAAGTTTTAACTGCAGTCTTTAAAGAATCATGCAATGCTGTCTGTGTCACGTCATGATGCCAAGGTAAACATTTACCCTGTTACTGATTTCTCTCCATCTTGTAGAAAAGGTGTCCCCAGAAATGTTAGATCAGTGAAGAATATGCATTGTGATTTCCCAGTGTGCTGAAGAGTCACTGAAACAGCAGTGCTCTGTAAACCTGGATGAGTCTCCGGTCAGCAGGGGGAACGGTTGGTAGGTGAGATCAGGTAGAGCCCCATCATTAATCTCTCTCTCCGCCGTGACAGACTTGCACAGCACGCGCGTGTCCTCCATGCCCACTTCAGGAGCCCGTGGCATCTGTCCTCGCCCTGCTCTGCTCATTCACCCAGCAGGATCCAGGATGTCTCACTTTGCCACTTCCTACATAAGACACGTCCCTACAAGGCTGCTTAATTACATTTCATTTAGCAAAGCCTATTTTCCGTGGGCTGTCCAGTTTCCAGGATTTGGATGATCACTGTTATTTTCATCCTCTTGTTTATGGTTGAGGACCTAAATTAATTTACTGCTGCTTGTCTTGTGGCTTTACTTCTCTGTTAGAACAGGATTTAGAACAGGTTTACAGTTTTGCATTTGTTTAATTAAATATCAATATACATTTAAGATCAAAATTGGACAACAACACGAGTAAATAAAGCAGTTTTTAAGGATGTTTCATGAGTTTCATATATTCTGGTGTTAATCTTTCATCTAGTGGCGATTTGCCCTGATTTTACAAAACTTTTCCAGTTTTCACTGACTTTGCATGCTGTCGAGATGTTTTAAATGGACTGAAACCCTCCTACAAGTTGTAGATGGACAAATGACGACCCTTTAGCAGCAGATTTATGATTTATAGAAAACAGCATTTTTACAATATTATTAACTCATTCCAGTCCCCCAAAAAGTCTGGTCATCTGTGAAGGGCAAATCTATGAGATGACAGGATAGTGCAGAGATTCTCAATGGTCAATCAGTTCAACACATCACCAGTTCAGGCTAAGAATCTGTTTCTTGGCATACAGTGTCTCAACGTTTAAGAGAACTCAAAGCCCAGCGTCTGCAGTGACCAGTCCTTCATCAGTAGAAAGAATCAAAAAAAGCCAGACTAAACTTTGCTGTGAGGCATGTTGTGCGGACAGAGACTGAAATTTCGCTATAGTGATGCAGTGATGGAAGAAAGTTTCATACATCACCTGTAGACGTTCCTTTCATTTACATTTAGAGCCCAGTGTTTATGATATGCTGGAACCTGCCATCAGGTTGAGATCAGATTGTTTTGCTAGTGACTACAGGCTGTGAATTACATGGGGGATTGGACCTGGGTAGAATCTCCTCATCCACCACCAGTGTGCACCTGGATGATGCAACTGCATTCTGTGCCAGACCGTACACCAGCTTATTGGTGGAGAGGACAATGATTGATAAAGCCAGTTATAATATTGTGATTGTTAAGACGTTGTGATAGTGAAAATTGGCCAGGATTCTGGGAACACACTTCTACAAGTTTCTGGGAAATCCTGGGATTTTTTATGACCACAGAGAGTCAGGACTTTGGTTTTATGGAAGAGTTGTGCTCATGGAACAAGATGGAGTCCCCATCACTATACTGGGGCATCAGGACCAACACAAACTGCAGGCTGAGCACCCTTTGCTTGCCTCACTAACACCTCTATTGGCAGCAACCTATTTTCCCTATGTGGTCTCCTATCCATGTTCTAACCACGCAGCCCTGCTTAGCTTCAGTGGATGAACATATGATAGCTGCAGAGAGCTAAATAGTGGAAAATAGTTTGATCCAGTGTGTATAATGTATTATTTTTGGTATAATTGTTCATAGCATTGTGAATGCATGATTGAGCCTGTAGACATTATGATGGAAAATGTACAGCTGGCAGACTGAAACAGCAGATGTATAGACAACAAAATAAAGGGTTAAAAGACAGCTTTACTTGAAAAATAGTTGATTGTATGTATATTTAAAAGTAATGTTACACAAGACTAAAAAAATGTTCATCTTTGAGATTCACTGTTAAAGTTTAATAAGGCTCAGAATCAGCTTTGAGTTTGACTAATAAATGAATAATTAAAGAGCCAAAGTATTCTCCTTCACTTTAAATAAGCCTTTTCTCCTCTATTACATAGTGAACCTTCACTTAGCATTCAGGGCTTTTTTTGGAGAGGAAGTTAACCATAGAGCTGAAAATCACAGTTAAATGGGATTTAAAGATGACCGAAATGAGTTACACTGGCATTTGGCTTCATGTGCTATAAAGACATGCACTATAGTTAAATTCAATTATCTAAATTGGCAGTAGTGTATGTGTGTGAATGAGTGTATGGGTGTTTCCCAGTGTTGGGTTACTGCTCGAAGGGCATCCGCTGTGTAAAACTGTGTTAAATGAGTTAGTGGTTCATTCTGCTGTGGCGACCCCTGATTAATAAAGGGACTAAGCCATTGAGAAAACGAATAAATGAATGAATGACAGTCATAACAACTGATTAATAACACATTTGTTTACAGTTTAAAGATGCCGTCTCATATCGTGGATGGCCTGAGGATGAGCAACTGAATAGCCAATTGACATTTTTGGGTGAACTTAAATGTTTTATAGTACTTCAAATGACCAATTTTATAGATGTATAGTTGTTAATCACTGAACAGTCCTGGTAAAACTCGAACCCCCACCTTCTTTTCATCAGTCATTCTGCTCAAAATATAAACCCCCAGGCCCCAGCTATGGCCATAACTCAAGTTAAAATAAAAACCATAATACTCATGCAAGGTGATTAAAAAGCTAAAAAGTCATTAAAATTGTACTGTAATATGTTAAAACAGTTTTAGAAAGCAGATGAACATTATTGTACATAAATTGTATAATAATTACGAAGTTATAAAATAAAATAGTAATAAGCATTAAATAAATATTTAATTATAAAATCTTAAAAGCTAAATTTTAGGCCTTGAAAAGTCGTAAATGTACTGAAATAATGTGTTGTAGTTCTGAAATCTTTTTAACAGGTCTTAATTTTCCTTTCTTTATGTATAGCTACCCAATCTGGCCATTAACACCCATACAATCAGTAACTATCCATCTCAATAAAACTTTTAACTTTTTATTTAAAATAAGCATTTATTTACTGCTGAGGATACTGACCTGACATATTTTATATTATTAAGTTGTTATTATTGTAGTAAAATGATTATATTATTATTAATATTAATGAGTAAAATGTACTCAGTTTAGATCCCTCTCTAAATTGAGTTAAAGTTACTCAACGTAATGAGACAATGGAATAATTAATGAGGTAATGGTTAAGCACTGATGATGAACACCTGCTGTTAATAAACACTT